CTTCTAAATTAAATGGATTAAAAATTTCTTTCTTGTAGAATTTCTTGAATTTACCACATGTCTAGTAACAAACTTATTTTATAAACACATATCCCACTTGGAAATGTAGAGTAGACAAAAATCACTTAGCTAAAATACCACATCTTGACACACAGAGTCAATTTTCCTCCACTTTAGTGAAAATATTTTCTAAGTAACTAGTACAGAAAGAAAAGCTACTATGGCAAGGATTTGTATTTATGTCACACATTTTAAATTAAGTAAGGCCTGATGTATAGAGGTTGACAGCATATAGGTGTACCACCAACGCTTCCAAATACATTATAGCATAGACAAAATAGAGATCCCGGAGCTAGGTGCACAGATGATCAATCATCTTAGTTCACCTGGACATCTCCAGTTTTAACAGAGAATGCTCCACATCCTAGGAAACTCCAGTCCAAGAAAATCAGGACAGCTGATGCCACTTAAACATCGATGGACAGAACCAGATAGATGACAGTAATGTCACAGATCTGTAGTGAGGAAGGAAATTAGGAATAGTATTTGGTCATTTCCTACAAGAGTAGCCGGACTAGCTGTGACATATCACAGATACCTGTAAATCTAGTAATCGGAGAAAAAAAAATCTAAATCTTTTTAAAAGAGCCAGCCAGACTGTGCTAGTTAATCAAATTGACACATTAAAGTCACCAGAAAGAGGGACATCCAGCTAAGGAATTGTCTCCATCAGATTGACCTATTGGCACTTTCTTGATTAATGATTGATATGAGAACACCAAGCCCTGGGCAGTACTACCTCTGGAGAGGTGGTCCTGGGCTGAATATGAGAGCAGACTGCACAAGCCCTGGAAAGCACAGTGGTAAGCAGTCCTCTTCCATGGTCTCTGCTTCAGTTCCTGCCTCCAGGTTCCTGCCTGAGTTCCTGCCTCGGCTTCCCTCAGTGTCGCCTGTTACCTGGAGGGTAAAGATGAAGTAAACCCTGTCCTGTTTAAATTACTTTTGGTAGTGGTATTTATCACAACAACAACAACAAAGTAACTAATACACAGATCAAGTCTACCAACAATGCCCACTACTGTCCATGTATCACTTAACTGAAATGCTTGGGACGAAGTATGTTTCAAATTTCAGAGTTTTTTCAGATTTTGGAATGTTTGTATAAAGTTTACCAGCTGAATGTCCATAACTCCAAAATCAAAGTGCTCCAAAATCTGAACATGTTCAACGTCACATCAGCACTCAAAAAGTTTTGGATTTCTAAATATTTTGAATTTCAGATTTTCCAGTTAGGGATGGTCAATCTGTACTGAGTCACATGTTAACGAAGTTAACTGCTCAGAAACATTTCATTTAATTGTCCCTATCTAATGCACATGTCTATTTCCACAGCCTGAATTAATCCTAAAAAGAGAAAAATCTTGCAACTGAGAGGGTGTGTTTAAGGCCCCCTCTTCATCAGAGGCTCAGTACCAGGTCAGCCCCACTGCTGTCCAACGTTCTTAGTAAACAGACTCTTTCCTGTTCCTAATGACTTATTTTCACCTCTAACTTGTTTAGGTAACATTTCTCTGGAAGGAGGGCACCATGAAGCTCTTACTATTTTCCACTTGTGTTGGTCTGAATGAGAATGGCCCCCATATGTGTGCATATCTGAATGTTTGGCCCCTAATCAGTGGAGCGATTTGGGGCCTTGTATGAAGGGATATGTCCCTCGGGTGAGCTTTGAGGTTTCATAGCCCATAACAGGCCCCATCTCTGGCTCTCTCTGCCTTCAACTTGAGAGTAAGATGTAAGCCCTGGCTACTGCTCTAGCACCATCCCATCCACCTGCTGCCATGTTCCCACCAGGATGGTCACAGATGCACCTCTGAGACTGTGAACAAAGCCCCAGTTAAACGCTTTCTTTTCTAAGTTGCCTTGGCCATGGTGTCTCTTCACAGCAACAGTGACTAAGACACCAGCTCAAGCACTATCAATGAAACTCACTGCTACTTCTACTTCTACTTAACGTACAGGCTGGGTCTCACCCACTAGACTGCTTCCACCATTTGCCATCGTGATCAGGTGGCCATCTTGTACCACTGCATTATCTCCCTGATGCCAACCACCATCTATTAACTACTACCTGTTTCCATGCTCCCTTAACTCTTAATCCTTCTGTCCAGATTTTCTCTTAAATCCCCACATTGGGAACTTCTGAATCACAAGTGCTGCAGCAGATTTTATTAAACTTCACAGTATAATCCACCCAAAATGAACTCTAGGACAGAAACCTAGAATATAAATTCTAGTGGCTCTCAAGTTTGAAAGGAAAATCAAAATGAACTGGGTAATGGATGATGGCCTTACACCACTTCTTCTGATAAAGCTTATGACTTCTGAAGTAAAATGGAATTACAGGAAATGGACAACTGGCTACAAGGGTGGAGAACAGAAGCTGGTCTTGAGACTAATCTTTAAAAAGAGTCTGTCCAGGATGGATGGGGTGTCTCAGCAGGTAAGAGGTGCTTGCTGTCAAGCCTGACTATCTGAGTTTGATCCCTAGGCCCCACATGGTAGAAAGAGAGAGCAGACTCCTGAAAAGTGTTCTATGATCTTCATACCTGTGCCATAGCACAAATGCCCCCTTCCATACACAGAGTAAATAAATAAATGCAATTAAAAAAAAAAAACACAACAAACCTAATAAGCAGGAATCCTTTTCACAAAACCAGAATCACAGCAAAATAAGTTCTTAGGAATCATGAAGCTGATTAAGAAGTCTTTGAAACTAAATCTGAAGAAGGGAAAAACAGCTTCTCTTTTAAGTGCTTTTTATTATAAAAAGGTAAATATATGCAAAAGGCCTATGATCATTCTTCCCCAACGATTAATGTCTGCCTCATCCATACTCCCCTTTAGGTGAGGTAAAATGTAGAATTCCACCTTAGTATATTAACACAGGACAGAATCACAGCAAAATAAGTTCTTAGGAAAAATAAGGAAGTAATATTTATGGATGTAGACTTTATTCAGCAAGCCAAAATACGAGCAATCAACAGGTGAAATACAAATTTTAAGTTTAAAAGTATATGTCTTACAATTTTACACTATGTAAGAGGAAATGCTACACCAAAATGTCAACAAAAGAGCCACGACAGAAACGTATGATACATGTTCATTAACTTATATAAGCAATTTGAGATTATGGTAAATTATGAAAGTTTCATGAAAATTCACTGAAATATGAATACCAAAATTAAGCTTTGCCAAAATGACGTTTCTCTAGCATATGTATTGTAAGGATATAACTACTTAAACTGAATAAACTTATAGAACAGTATACAGACCACAAGGGTGATAACTATCGAGGACATACCAATTAATGGAAAAACACTGCAAGCCATTTCCCATGATATCTACTTCAAAGCATTCTCTCACACACCCTGGCTCTTTTCGGGCCAAATAGACAATATGCTAAGGCAAATGACACAAGGAAAGTCCGGCTAAAGAGAGCACAGCTGTGGGCTGAGGGATGGTGTGGAGTATTTGTATTTTGGGTTATATACCTCATACTCCCCTCCGTTATCCCAAGTTTCAATGCTCTACCCACAACATCCCAGTTGTAATCAGAAATCTTCTTTCCTTTGCTTGCTCTGCTACTAACTTGCAGTATGACTTTAGATACAATTTAGATTTTGTAAACTTCATTAAACATGTTCCTGATCAAGAAAACGTTTATCGTGTATCACACCAGCCACTCTTTACTTGTCACATCCTGTATCGAGCAGCATAGCAGACATTTCTTTTCAATAACTGGATGCAGGGGGATTTAGACTCTACCTTACAAATTCAATACAAGAGGCACAGTGCAACGTGGTATGTTCCAGAATACATACATCAATGACAGAATCAAGATTTGAAGTGGAGCCGGGCAGTGGTGGTGGCGCACGCCTTTAATCCCAGCACTTGGAAGGCAGAGAGACAGGCGGATCTCTGTAAGTTCGGGGCCAGCCTGGTCTACCGAGCGAGATCCAGGACAGCCAAGGCTACACAGAGAAACCCTGTCTCAAAAAACCAAAACCAAACAAAAGATTTGAGGTCAGCCACCATTCAGGACCAGGTGTGTACTTCCCTACCACTCATACCATCTCCTAGCTGTCTTCGTAATAAACGCTTCCAAAGTCCTGTGTGAAGTACTACAACTCAGGGGCAGTATCTCAAAAAGTGACTTTCCTTCCCAGGTTTGTCCTCCCTCTGATGGGAATATCATAAACGGCAGAGAGATGGGTCAACAGGAAAACGCTATTCCCACTGCAGAATGACCTGCCTCGTAAGGAGGCCGTGCATCTTTTCTCTTGGAATGCTTCACAGCTGGATCACCTTGGGTCTAAACAAAAATAGTTCTAACGAGCCCCTAAGTATGTACTGGCAGTCGGGAATAAAGGCAAATCACCAGCCTGGCCTACTCATGGGAGGCAGCATCCGACAGCTCTGGGGCAGGCTCCGGGCAAGAAGTTTGCAGAGGTGCTCAAGTTTGCGCCCCAGTTCCCAAAGTCTGGGAGTCGGGCACGTCAGGGCACCGGGCTCCGCCCCCGTGCCTGCTGGGTGAGGCCCGCGTTCTCAGCGTCCCCTAAACTTGAGCGCCGTCCACCTGAGGCCAGGGCCAGGAGGCTCCGCCTCCGCCCCGCCAAGTTCAGCGAGCC